GAATGTCGAAAATGCAATTTTGAGCGTTTCGCGATCAGCGTTTGCATACACTGAATTTAATTTAATAATAGCAAAATGGAAAACTGTTATTTTACTGTTATTGTAGAGGAAGATCAAAATCATCGAATTTAACCGTTCTGAACATTGACATTTCACAGAACTTTGTCATTTTCACCGAAAAATGCCGCTGATTAAAATACATGCAGGCACCTAATAAAAGTATTTTTTTTTTTTTTTTGCGAGAACTAGTCGTCTGATTTCCCCCCTCCTTCTTAAAGTTCGTCCGGTTTTTTATGCTACCTATTCGCTACATTTAGTGCATCCGGCTTGTTTGCTTTTTGCAAAATTAAAAAATAAAAGCTCTGTGAGAAAACATTTATTAACAATAGAGGGATGCAGTCTGCGGATGATGTTTTGTCTGTTTTGTATTCAGCTCGCCGGCTTTCACCTCGAATAGGATATCAGAAGTATTGAACATTGCTGGAAAAGTATATTCAACTAAAAGGAGATTATGTGTAGGAATAAAGAAATGTATTTTCCAAAAGTTTTCGTGTGTTCTGCGCAAAGTCAAGTCGCTCTGGGACCATCTCTGTACTCCATCATAATCTAACTTCATATGTACAGAGACAGGAAACTAGAAGACAATCTTCATAGTGAACAAAAGTATTATAAGTATAGAAGCGGATAAGCAATTTTCGTTAATGTTACGCATTTACAAATACAGCATAAATGTATTCATCTCGTAATCAAAACAATAGATTTAAAAGCATATAACCGATCTCTTTCAATGTAGAAATCAGATTTAGTCTTTCATTTGCTTGCGTAAACATTTTCACTTTTTTTACATAAATAATTTTCTTCGAATGGGTGTGGGCACACATCGATGTACTTTTCCGCGTGGACATCCTTCATTATTATGTAAAACCGTTATCCTCTATTCTCGTGTATTATGCACTGAACTGAAATTTTATTTTCATCCATTTCTGCATCAATACATGTATCTATAATAGATATTGGTAATTGTAAATATATGTGGTGATGCGTGTTTATATTAATAGACTCTACCTTAACCATCAGAGTATGTATGAACGTTTACGTTGGCACGGCACAAGAAAGATATTATTGGTTAGTTGTTAGTTAACAGTTTTTAGTTTTCTTTTAAATTTCAACTCCACTTTAATGCCGCAATCACATTCGCATATATCGCGATCTGCTGTTCTGTTATGCCTTCAATCATCGCATAATTTCACGTCATTCATTAAGGATTGAAAGGTGAATAAAAACAACTTTAGCTAGAAGTAGTCCGTACTAACCGATACAAGTGCCTATTTGTGTGTTTAAACAATGATAATTTAATTTTACACCCACCGCATCGTTATTAGGATAACAGTTTGATTGAAACTCAGTTTTCATTCAAATATATTTTTCACATGGACTGGAGATCAAAAATATCCGAACAAAACAACGATGAAGAATTCAGCGGATTTTTTTCCAAAAATGACAAAGAGAATTTCGGTATTGTTGTATAGCTTTCCTAGGCATTTGGCTCGAATAATCTCATATTCGGGGGGTGCATTAAGTTTCAGCTGGGCAATAATGCCGAACTGCTCATTAACGTTGACAATGCTTGTCAAGTTGATTTGAGCTATCAATAAGAAGTTCACGATGGTTCCATGGTCCATGGCAACAGTTTCAATGCAGGCGACTGAAAGCTTACGTAGCTTTCTGCAATTTTTTAAATGTTTTTCATTTGCAATGGTTGGCAGCAATAACAACAGTTGCAAGAAAGAATTAAGTAAGAAACTCTTGAAATGAAGCTATGTCAACGTTTGCATTAAATGTTCGGGTGGAGCTTGTGTTAAGTCCTTAACTAAGTTATTGTTTTAACTGTTTCAGTTTGGATTTCAGCATAGGTTTGAATTTATACAGGGAATTCTATATAGGACGCGAATAAGATGTCAATACTATTTGTACACTTGTTGTTGAATATGATTATGAATCAATTTGAAGCTTTCAAGTACGCTATATATAGACGTATATAGGTTTGTTGTACATGCAATTTGTATGCTACTCTCTGTGCTTATGTATTACATTCAATTATATATAATGTATATAAATATATATAATGCATAAATTTTCACACTCTATCTGTATCTGTTTATATTCATTTATTTATTTATTTATTTATTTATTTATTTATTTTTTCATCATATATTGCTACCCTTTCTTATTATTATATACAGTTGTTGCCGTTGTCCTGCTGTTGTTACGATTATGGTTACCGTTCTCGATGTGCTGCTAAAATTATTTCCGTTCATTTAAATTCGAATTCAGTTATTATTTCCGGTTTATTGAATATAATCAATGAGAGATGTTATGATTTTTCCATTAGCATTGAATATGTTTGCTGAAGCCGGTAATCGACTTTACATGTGTACGTAATTTGTTATTTTACTTATTGTCGTTGTTATTGGTTATACATTTGTGTATATGATTGTGCATTTATTTGAACAATACTTCAATAAAGCGAATAAATTCTAATCCAGAATACATATTCAGCTATTTGCATATATTCATTCCATTCTCTTCCATCTCTTTTTGTGCATTATATATAAAAAAATGCAGTCGGTGTCTATCTATCACCTTTTGTCACGAAAACCATTCAATATGTTATACAATAGAGCTTAAATAACTTTTAAATATACTTTTTCTATAACATCTTTTTAACTACAAACTGAAATGAGACAAATCATCACTAATTCAGAATAATATTTCAATTTACGCATCGTACAAACCTCTCGGATTCACATATTACTGCCTCTCTATATATACGTATCTATGTATATATATATGTAGCATAGCCGTAGGATTCAATTGAATATTTTTATAATTTAGAGCGTATTAAGCAAGTATAGCTGCAAGAGAAGCCAAAAAGAACTTGAGGTAGACTCAGACTTTATTCCATCATTGCATCGATTCGGAACTGCTAACCAAATCGAATTAAGCATACCTGTCGTCCGTACAATTATCCGATGTAAATTTTCAAGATTTTCAAGTGGAATTTGGTGCATTTTAACATGTTCCGACCCATGCATGTACGCTATTGAAAATGGAATGGAAGGGACTATTTATATAACTACTCACCCAAACAATCGAATTCGAGAAAACTTGCGGTTTTTCGTATTTATACCTAACACGTCTGCTCATCTAATCAGGTATTAAGTTTCTCTGGATCTGCGTAATATCCAGAAGGGCTTCATATAGTCCCGCCTTTTGTTATACTGAGCATTATTGAATTGTTTTTTGCCCGTTTCATGTCATGCCCTAGCATTCATTTTGGTCCATCGTTGAATCCTATTGAAAATGAATTGGACTGTACGATTGTGAACGGATGGTACCATATTTTGACGATCCTTTCATAACAAATTTGTTGCAGAAAAAAAGTTTTTGCATAGCGATAGACTGTAATCTTTAATATTATGTTTTGTATAACATTTTGACATCTAACTGTGCTAGGATTCCTATAACAAGGTTTGGTATTTGTTGATGTAAGTGGATCGAGACTTGTACTAGACAAAAGGCTGTATGGTATTCAATGGTCAACGTTACCAGTCATGACACCCTTAATGGCATTCACATCAGCATAGAAGACGCGTACAATGTTCGAGTAATAGTTCTTTGACGTCGCTCTATGCTTACGTTTTAAGGCAGTGTAGAAATTGCAATTTTCCGCGTCATTTTAATAACCTTTATGCAATGGGTAGATAAGCATCTGAAATAAAAATTTTTATTCCGGTAATTCCACCCGCTATGTAAATCTCATAGATAGCAAGTAAGTAAGAAACTTGTATACCCTTCAATTTTTTTTTAAGATACTTGCAACATTTAAAAAAAAGCATAGGACGGCCACTTTGTTATACCCTACTCTTTTGTTGTGCAGATATCAGCCAACCTTCTAACATTAGTACATCGGTCAACAATGTCCGAAGTTGGGCTATAGATATCGTTCCTTACAAGCGATTCAACCAAAACTTGTCAGAATTCCATGTCATTGTCGTTACCTTGGTTTTTTTTTTTTTTCTCAATATTTCCAGGAAAATTAAGCATTAAGATGAGAAGACTTCCGTCTCAAAAAAACGAATTTATCGATCGTTTTGCTGTTTTTAAACGAAATTGTACGAACGCGAATAATGCAAAACGCAATGAACACCAAAAAGGGCTGGTTGGACTAGAGAATATTTAAAAATATTTTGGAAAATTATTCTCAACAATCGGAATGTGAGTTTGCAAAAGATAGCCGGTATCCTAAATGTATGGAAAAGCAGTGTGTTCGGTAGTTAGCATAAAAAATTCGGCCATGAGAGAGTTTTGTACCAAATGCGGAATAAGTGCAACGTACCCAGTGCAATAAGTGCAACGTACCGCAAGTCGATCGTTATAGTGGCAAAATTAAATGAAATGAAGTTCAAATGATTGCCGCACTTACCTCGGTTCAAAGCTTAATCTCTATTTGCAAAACTCAGAAGGTTGCTGCAGGAAAAATGCTGTGCATCATATAATGAAGTCATTGCGAGCAAAGACATCGAAACGCCAGAGGAGCATTGTGGACAGATTGCGTTTCCCCCTGAAGAACGAACTTTTGGATCGATTCTTTAATGTCTAACTTTCATATTAATATTTACTGTTATAATATAACTTATGGATATTTTTGCAGCCGCAGCTGGAAATTACTTATGACATGAGATGCAATAGTGATCCATTGCATTGCACATAAGAATTCAGTTTACAAATTTGATTATTCACTGATAATTTTATTTAGTAAAACGATTATTTTGAAAAGTGCATAAATGATAGATTCATTTAATCATGCTTTACTTTTATAAGCAGAGATTTGAATCGTAATCTCTATATTATTATATTAACAATTCCAACTATATATTATTTAGTATAGAATGTCGGTTCGTTGAGCTGATACCTCTTAGTAAATTAATCCGAAAATCATTATGAATTTTATTGCATTCTTTTTATTCGCGTTATCAATTACGGCATATTGTCGCGGTTTAATGAATGAAAAATCCGGTAAAGTCAAAAGGAATCTTTCTGTTATGGCTTTTTTAATACATTTACTAAAAAAATATTAGGACTGTTTAACAGTGTCTTAGAGAAGCGTGAAACGGACGATGAAATTGATCTTTGCACATATGCTGTGCGCCAATTAGAGATTATAAAGAAGGAGAATGAACTCCTTAACATGCATTTTCAGATGTGGAATCATCGTTGGAATAAATTGGAAGGAATGCTTAATGTTTTCGAAGCAGTGTTGAAAAACATAGAGAATTATGTAACAACTCGATATTCCGATATTGAGGATCTCAAGACAATAATTACAAACATTTCCAGTAAGGAATGTGAACAAGAGGATATTTTGCCTAAAATTAGCTCAATGATTGTTGATAACAATCAACTATTAATGGCAGATATCGATAAGAAATTTGAGCCCCTATCGCAAATCAAAGGACTCGTAATAACGGAGCATGATGGAATTTTGCGAATTGAAGAAAGACTAACGGCTCTTAGTGACCTGAGTGAAAAATTCCTAAAAAGCGAAGAAATGCAAAAAGTCACATTGTCTGAGATTAATGCAACGATTAATAGCAACCATTATGGAATGATTGATGCGATTGATAAAAAATTTGAACCTTTACTTCAACTTCAAGATTTGGTGACCAAAGAGCATCAAGGAATTTCGAATATTGAGAAAAATCTCATTATTATTGACGACTTAAGTAAAAAACTGTCAGATCAAATTTTATATCTTTCTTATGTGAAAGAAAATCAGCATTTATTAACGGACTTGTCCACTAGACTTGCTAAGATTGGTATGTAAATGAGTGAGAGCTTTCTTTTTATGATTAATGTCGAAAATTTCTTCTAGAGCAAAGTGTACCGGAAATTATGTAAGTGAGTTCATATTCTCTTTAGTCATGTTCTTTCTAATCGGTTCTCGCGTACAGTGATTACGATTTATATCCTTCAAATTGCGTGGAATACGATAAGCGGTATTGTGACAATAATTTATGCCATATAAAGCATCCGAAAGGTATAAGACAAAGCCTTTTAGTCTCTTGCTTTAATCACACTATTCACGGGGATGGTTGGTTGGTTATACAAAAACGCATGGACGGTTCAGTTGACTTTTATCGCAATTGGGCTGAGTACAAAACTGGTTTCGGAAATATTTCGGGGGAATTTTGGATAGGCTTGGATCATTTGCATGCCCTTACAACGCTGCACGATAGACAAGAGTTGCTAATAATTTTAGAAGATTTCGAAAATGTCACTAAACATGTAAAATACGATTCATTTGTGGTCGGTAACGAAGAAGAAAAATATATATTGAAGAATGTGGGCGAAAACACAGGCGATGCAGGTGTAGCGTTTGCTCGGCATCAAGGCTATCAATTTACTACAATCGACAATGACAACGATATCGATGATGATAATTGCGCCCGAACGCGAATGGGCGGATGGTGGTATCTGAACTGTTTCTGGTGGTTAGTGGTTGTGCAAATTTTTACATAATATAATAATTGAAATGAACTCCACTTCGCTTCATTTCATTTCAGTAATTTGAATGGCAAATATTATAGCACCGGTCATGGCCCGAACGAAGCACTTCATTCTGGTATTAGTTGGCTTGGTTTTCACGATTATGACTATTCGATGAAATTTGTCCAAATGATGATTCGACCGCATCGCGTAGGCACATCACAAACTAAATCCAACTGACTTCTTAGAAATAGCACTGATATTTAGTTACCATTTTTACGCCCTACACCACTTATGGTATCGAGTATATTCGGTTTGCAAGCAAGGACGTGTTCGCAACACCTATCAGAACTTGCATTCGATTCGTACTTTATTATACCGATCGATTCAAAATCATTTCCTGAATTGGCATATCTGTCCGTCTCATAAGCGCCCACACATTTTTGTGCCGCAATTTTGAAATGTTTCGACGAAATTTGGTACATTGACGCATTCTAACCGCAAGACGAGCACACTTAAATGGGAAAGGTCCACTTCTGTACACTCCATGGTGGAAATAAGATGTATTAAGATATATTTATATGGAAAATAGATTAGGAATCTAATCGGTCTTCAACAAAAAAATTCGATTCGACAAGCTTATACCTTGTTGTTTCACGTTTTACTCCCGCTCAAATATATATATAGGCGTGTACGAAAATCCTTTCTATATATCGAAATAAGATATAATTTTTGCAAAGTGGTATTCGGTATATAAGGGTCGGACTTGTCCGACTGTACAGTTTTTACTTATTTTTAAATCGTATTACTGTCATTACATCGTACGATATTGATCGCAACTGTCTCTGATTCATTTGTCTGGCCAGGCGTAACGAACGCTATTCATTAACATTTTTATGTATTCTCTATGATCATCAATAATAATTATTTTATTGAATACATAAATAAAATTCGCATTATTTCTGCTGGGCTGGACGGTGATCCATCACTAAAAACTTGTTCCATCAGTTGCGAATTTTTCGCAAAAATTGTATAGGGTTTAGGACGTTGACCCCGCAATTTACAACTGTCTCTAAAGAGGCTGTTTGCATTGAATATGTTTAAATATGAAGCATTAAGCAACCAAGACAGTCGGACAACTTCAACCATTAAGTGCCAGAACAAATTATTCATTGCATCACTCATTCTGGTCAAGGCGATTTTTAGGTAGACGAACCATCAGGAAACTCCCCGAAAGGCCTTTCCGTCTGCTTAGTCGCCAAGGCTAAGAATTAAAGATGATAACTCTCCACAATCTCTACATCTCCCTGATACCTGGCAACTATTTTGTACGACTCAAGACAATACTTTTCCTAGCATATATAGGTACACTTGCATTTGGATTCCTCATACAATCCCGGACTCTAAATCGTTATTATTTTTTCTCATAGATCTTCAATACCTGCGCAGAAATGTGGACAATGGGACAACTCCTATCTTGTTCTCAATTCAGATGCTTCGTTTTAGGTTGACAGCGTCATATCAGCGTGAATATAAAGAAAGGAAATGTTCATGAAAAAGATTTTCCTATTAATCCCTTCAGTTTTGTGAGAGGAGATTACCGTCGAGGAGAAGAGTCAGTTACCATGGAATTATATCGTGGCTTTTAAACATTCTCAATACCCAAACACTTTTGACCGAACGTTAACGAGGAATGTACTTTTCCAGCTCAGATATCTATCAATAGCTATTCTGTCTGCCTTAGAACTCACCTTATGCATCTATTGAGAACTCTAGTACGTCTCTAGTAGTTTGTCAAAAATATTAAAATAAAAGAAATAGATAAATAAATAAAGTATGAGTTAATATTTATAATTGTTATATAATATTATTTATAGTACTTTGGTAACTTTGTTGTTGGTGCTTTGTTTTTTAACAGCCATTCGAGTTTTTACTTTAATGGGAAAAGTTAAATAAGCATTCATAAAAATCACATTTTTCCATAAAAAAGTTATAGTAACTGCCAAGTAAACTAAAAGCTTCCTAACATGAAAGAGGATATAGTTAGTAAAGAAAAAAAGTTAAAATATGAAAAAAAAAAAAACGAAATCTTTAAGTAAAATATTTACCTGATAACCATCAAACACATTACAACTGAGTTCGAATATCAAACTGAATCATTGCATATGTTATAGTTTTGAAAATCCCAAAAAATAGTTTCCCCTTTACCTTCGCCCATACGCGCTTACAACAAGTAGGAGATGATACGTTCAGTATACTTTATCAAAAGATCGAACTTTCATAAGTTGACATAAGAAATGTCACGATTTGAGCTGAGAAAATGTATTATAGAACAAGAAAAGGAACGCATGAAGCGAGATTTTGTCCAGGTTATGCCCATAATTGGGCAAGGGAAGTAATTCTTCAAAATCTTGCAGTATTGTGCATATAATATAATATAAAGCAGTGCATATAGAATTGAAAGTGCATTGGTAGCCAATATTTACTTTAAAACGAAATGTTATGTGTACGTTTGTTTTTGTTGAATTTTTCATTAAAAAGAAACGTTTGTTAAAAAGAAAATTGTAGGCTTAATGCCAAAATATCGTATTTGCATGCCCGAACAGTAGGATACATTATATGCTAAGCAAACGCAACATGGCATGCAGTGACTTAAATGCTTGCCTGCCAGCTTGCATGCGTGATGCCCTCTGCAAGGCATACATTTTTTTTTAACTATGTAGTAGATGTTATATCCGTTTCCTGTTTTTGTCGCTTGCAAATTTTGGAGCAATGCCGTATACGAGTCTTTTATGAGGCGTTAACTTAACCATATTTATGATTATGGTTTTGGAGAAATGTTAAATTCAGTCAACTGTTAAAACGAATAGTAATTCATAAAAATGACTACGGGGTTCTAATGGCTGCACACACGCAGGCATATATATATATATATATATGTTTATGAAAAAAACAAAAAATTCATATATATTCTGATTCAATTTAATTTAATGAAATCTCTTGCAAAAATTTAAATACGTCTGAGTAAAACTTTTTCAAAACATTGCGTTAATTTAATCTTATATTTTGCACTTCACTTGGAACGTATACGTGATTCATCATCCGATTCCGTGCATCTGATTCTTTATTATATATATTAATCGGCCATAAGAATTGATCTAATCACGTCCGGGGGTCAATTCGCTTGTTTTGAGTAAAAATGAAAAAAGTCTTTACAATTTTTTTCGATAGGATTTATTGACAACGATGTTGTACAGATCTTTTGTAGGATTGAGAACTTCGAAGCAGCCTGGCATTTTTATGCGTATCTCTTATGCGCATTTTCAGAAAACAAAAATGAAACTATGTAGTCAATCCGTATTAAAACAAGTCAAAAATGTGCTAAACTTGAAGATTTGTAAACAACGAATCATTTCAATACATATATATGTATATACATTATTATTATTATTTTTTTTTTAAATTACTTGTAATGCTTTGCATTCATTTTATATGCATATTATTATGAATATTGTTATGAATAATGTTTCATGCTAATGGGAAATGTGTGAAGATAAATTTGAATTCAGGTAACACGAATAATGACAGAGGTCTCTCTTAACTGAGCTCTGTAAACAGCGTAAACGGGGTGTGTGGAAAATTACACAAACAAAGGGACACTCATGGTCAAATTGATTTAGAAAATGATTCTGATACGGTTAATAGCAGAAAAAGTGAGTCTATATCGAGCAGTTCTGGGCGTTTCACATGTAGCGTCATGAAAATTAATTAATTTGGTCAGAGAAAATTTTTCTATGAAACGAGACAAAGAAAAAATTACGGATTTCCGTAATCTTTATCTTTCACCTGATAAAAAAAAAATTATTTTGAAACTAACTTAACAAAACTGTCATAGAAACTGTTGATAGAAAGCTGAGAAAGCGGACTCATTTTTAATTTCCGTCTAATATGCGAATCATTTAGTTTTCTGGATAGAATGCAATTAAGCTTTGTCTGTAGACGCAACATTTATTTGATAACCATCAGCATGTGATTCACTAAAAAATTGTAAAAGAGTATTAGAAGTTCACTGTGTATACTCTGCTCGATAGCAATGTTTCCAAAATAAAATTAAGAATGATATGTGTAGAGCTCACAACCTCATGATTCGGGGAATTCATTGATTGTAAGACCGAAATCAAGGGAAACAGTTTCAACGGTTATATTTATCGTAAATAGTTTTTACTTTGTATTTGTGTCAATTAATCGGGCAAACTTAACGCTTTATAACTTCGACATCGTGCGCGAAAACTTTTCTTTGAGATCAACAGTCGCCTCAAGATATGAACGCGCCTTCTAATGTTGTTGGTATGAAACCCATCACCGCATTGATTGATTTTGTCGTTCGTTATACAAGAACAGATCTCAAGCCAGGCTTTCCTTAGTACTTTTAATATCCCCCCCCCCGCGCGCCCCCCACCCTTCTATCAGTTGTTATAATAGTCTAAAAAAGTCTCCACCAATCGACAAGTGCATCTGTAACTGGCTTGTCTCGAAAGCGATTATCCCGCGGACAGCAGTTATTGCGCCCACTGCTGTGGATATCAAACTAATGAAATGCAAGTTAAAGCGGGTACACGGCAGAGTTAAGTTTTGTTCTATTGGCACTAATCTGTTCGAAGTCCTTACCAAGATTTTGATCTTATAACTCAATTTGATATTCTATTCTTTATTTCTTTTATATATCATATCAATGCGAAATATGGTACGAAATATGTAAATAATTCACAAAATCTATTACTCTACGTTACATCTTACATCGCTTGGAGTTTGTTTCTCTAATATTTCACTTCCTTTCATCTTGTTGGAGAATGCGGTCATTTCTCGTTGTATTTCTATTGTTCTTCTATATAAGCAGAAGCATTTTAAAAGATTACCTCAGATTATGAAAGATCACGGTTGACGAAGATTCGTAGAAGAATCGTTAAAGTAAGTATATTGTGTTTAACTAAACATTCGTTTGTGTCGCAGGGTCGCATGCTCCCTCGGTCAACGTAGACTGAAAACTTGCTTTTACGTTAATTTATTTCAATTTTTATAAACTACTACACACCCTTCTCTCTTAGCACACTTATGATAAGGGTGTTTTAAAGTTATATAAATGTATGCTGTGCTCAGCTTTTCATTGAACCAATTTCGTATATCTTGTTATTTTCAGAATTATTCTTTGATTCGTGTTAACGTCTGTCCGTTCGTCAGTGTGCTTTTATAGGGTGCAATTTCTGGAATATTTTGAAGGAAGTTAAGCATAGAGTTGTACTGGATAGTCGATGGGACGTGACTATAGTGTTTAAACTTGTTCCCTAATCCCAATAGGTGGAAAGACGACCAGACGTGTCTTAAAATTTTATTATTTTTTTTTTAATCAGCAGCAATAGCAAATGCGAAGGCAAGCCTAATCGATCGAAAGAGCTTTGACTGTTTGCATAAGTAGTAGAAGTTGATTGATGATTTTAACGAGACCAAGTCCTTGAAATCAAGTCCCACAACGCCATTCAAGCCAAACAAGAGATAGCTGATAAAAACAATGCAAACATTGGTTATCAGCAAACATTTTTTTGCATTATCTCAAGTTCTTTTCACCGTTGTTTGTTAAAAATGCCAAAGAAATTGGTGCAAACTGAGATTACAAACTTGTTTGGCAACTGAGTAAACCAAAAGAGTCAGATAATTAACGCCAAGAAATCACTGTATGCGACATTTGCCAATTGATTGAGTTCAGTGGGAAAACCAGCCATAACGAGATCAGGAGTTAATATCCAGCGAGCGTATTCTGGTCGATGTCGGTTATACTTTACAACCTAGTGGGAGGAAAATTTTTCTTACTCTTTCATTTACGTAGAAATTCGGGTCTTCCCATTAACAGGCCGCCGATACGTCGATGGGGCTATATCTTCATATTGATATATATGCAATTGTAAAACTTAAATCGGGAAATTTAACACACTCTAAGGACTAAACCGTGCATTTGTAATGACAATGTTGATATTCAGTCATGATAGCATAACATATTTACCCATGTATAGAGGTGCACACAAAAAACATAAGTAAAAGTTTGCGTGCTCTATTGTATTAAGTTTTCAGGTATATATATATATATATATGTATACATAGAAAATTATACAAACTTATGTGTACATATAAATGCTTACAGGGACTTTAATGTACTTTTCTGTGTATTCATCTATAAAAATGATTACAATGTTAAAGTTTCTTTGAACTGTGCATACGAGCGGATGTGTGCGTATTTGTCTACTTAACTTATGAGAAGTTTATTAACTAAATCATTTCATTTGTGAAATTTTGTAATATATTTTCTGAATTCTGTGTGAACAATATTAAAAAGACAAATCAATCGTGACTGGCCAAAGCCAACGATATAAGTATAAAATCTCCATAAAATGATTTGTGTCCTTAAAGAAGCAAAATATACTCATACACGAAAACGCGCACAATAAATAGTGAACGAGATCAGACATGAGTGAAGTGTATCGTATGGGTCTATTGTAATGGTTTCCATCTGATCGGATAAGTTGAAACATATCGGAAAGATAACAGAGCTT